AGGAGTATCAGCCATATTTTTGTTTCATAATCTTTGTTTGATATGTAGTCATTTTCAAATTTGTAGGAATCTTGCAACAGTGACATCACTGCTACTAGTGATAACAAACCCAGGCCCTGTACGTCAAGAGGGAGCGTTGGACTCACTGTACCCGGTCGTGGAAAGGCTACTGGGCATATAATGTATCTCTATTTTACCTGTAGTATAGCTAGTTAATATAAGAATAACCTATTTTGTTATATTTGTATACAATATTATAAATTTTAGGTATGATGTCAGTAATAAAGGTAATTAAAAATTTTTCGTGTTTTTACAGGAATTTATACCAGCGGTTTCCGGCATAAAAAATTGATAACTTATGTAATACTCTTGCTACATATATAATTATGGTATCATTTTGAAGCCAAATGAATTATCTCTTCATTTATATGGACCAAAATACCATTCACTTCTGCTATGCTCCACAAAAGGTCCATAAAACATAAAAAAATGTTTTTGCGTGGGCACGTCCAACTTTTTTAGATACCCCCGACAATAAGGTTCGACTCTTTGCGATACCAATATTCAAGAAGTTTATAGCTATAGCTTCAAAATGATATATAATATGTATATATAGGATCATTGATTGTCTCCAAAAAATTAAATCAATGCAAATAAGTTGAACATTAAAATATTCATAAAAAACAATTCGGCTCCCTAAGGAAAATAGTGTTCCAGATCTTGACCATATGGTTGTAGTATAGGAGGATTGAAAAGTTACACAGTGGGTTTTGACGGTTATTCTCACAGGAAAGACTCAATCGAGTACGACCATAATTATGCGCATTTGATCATATACTATAACATGTTAATTTGCGCAATATAAATATTAAATATTATTATTATTGACCATGGCTGACAAACGACACAAAGTTACTCAAGTTCACGTATATAATAATATATACTATATATATTATACTGCACTGCTTTAATTGTTATATATTATCGGTAAATGCGTTTACTGTCAAAGCTATATAAAAACACATGGGTTAAAATCACCAAAACATGTTTATGCACATTCACCATTAATTTGATTTATAATTATTGTCAACAAGGTGGAGGTCGAGTGCAGGAAAGCAGATGCATCCATATGTATTAGATGTTGGGGTCGCTGCTAGTTCCAAGTGGATATTTTAGTTATTTTCTAAACAGAGTTTCAGATCTAAACAGAGTTTCAGAGCCTCGAATTCTAAAGAATATATGCATGATAGCAGAATTTGCTAAAATGTTATATCACATCAAAATTTTATTCTCGATATCCGTATATATCGTCATCAAAACGTAACTATACAAAACTTCCAGCTCAGTTATTCACTGCTTGTCGAAACGTGAGGCAACATTTTGAAATTTTCATGACTTGATCTAACAATCAAAACACGATGGTATTTGTGGAATTTCACCCGTATACGTGATCGAAACCCATCAAAAATTCAAAAGTGTACGTGTAGTTACTGTAGATAAACATTTAATATATCGGTGTTCTCAAAACAATATTATCCAATTATAGAGTTGAACACCTTCAACTGCGCATTACTGAAAAGTTGACCTCTTATATACACTCGAGGTGAAAAAGTCAATAGATAAGATTTGGTAGATTGCAAAGTTATATAATTCGCCTATAAATCATAAATGTAGACCCATTTTGGCTGCATTACTATAACATACTAGTTCGTAAATAGACACATTAATCATTATATTTACATACTTTATACGCCCGACTAAACGCGCAATGTACAGTAGAGCATTATTTTTTGTTTATTAATTATTTTCTACTGCCTCAGTGTTATCCATGGCTCTCTGTTTCACCTCACTTCTTGACTGATCTCCGTTCGTGTTCCTTTCAGATCTCCTACATACGCTCTGGGTTATCTGCTTTTTTTAATAAAACGCAGCGTCTAATTGCGGACATTACGAGTTAATTTTAGAAAACATTGTTTATTGCCACCTGCATATTTGTTCATGTCCCAGCAGTTGGGCTTCGATCCACTGACCTGTAGCGTTCTTTCTATACAGCCTCACGAAAAGTGCAATTTTTATGAGCAAAAACCATCCATATACTTATTATGGGATATTTAAACAATAAGTTATAGTAAGCAATAAGTTGTAGCGTTTGCGATAATAGAAATATGTTGGTGCGTGAGTGATCCTAAAAATATATACTATCATGCAAGTTATGTATGTTGAATTTATTATATACCACACTGCTTTTAATTGTTATTATTTGGAATTTTATATTTGGAAAGATCAGGCTTTTAGCTGTTGAATAATATTACGTTCTTCATGCCAAATAGCGTGCTGAAGTTCCGCCCGATTACCTTCTTTTTGATAAACATTGTATAGTATCTGTAAAATGCGTTTATCAAAGCTATATAAAAACACATGGGTTTAAATTACCAAAAATTGTTTCAAATTCAACATTAATTTGACTTATTGTCAACAAGGTGGAGGTCGAGTGCAGGAAAGCAGATGCATCCATATGTATTAGATGTTGGGATCGCTGCTAGTTCCAAGTGGATATTTTGGTTATTTTCTAAACAGAGTTTCAGATCTAAACAGAGTTTCAGAGCCTCGAATTCTAAAGAATATATGCATGATAGCAGAATTTGCTAAAATGTTATATCACATCAAAATTTTATTCTCGATATCCGTATATATCGTCATCAAAACGTAACTATACAAAACTTCCAGCTCAGTTATTCACTGCTTGTCGAAACGTGAGGCAACATTTTGAAATTTTCATGACTTGATCTAACAATCAAAACACGATGGTATTTGTGGAATTTCACCCGTATACGTGATCGAAACCCATCAAAAATTCAAAAGTGTACGTGTAGTTACTGTACAGGGTGTCTCAAAAAAACCCAAAATCATTGAAATTGACGTATTGTTCGATATTCAATGCCCTAGCACTAAGTTAATCCCACGAGTGCATAAAAGATTGACATAACTGCTATAATGAATGG